GAATGGTTTCATTTTTCAAAAGAAAATTTTAATTTTATTTGTTTGATAGATATTTTGNAAAATTTACTTTCTTCTTTCAACTTACTAACTAGACAAGAGCGATTGCTAACAGAACGCCTACTTTTACTCACAACAGACGATGCGAAGAATATCGTAAACATAGAAAAGTGATGTCAGGTAGGAATTGCAGCGGTCACTAATAGAGAAGAATACACCAGTTAATGTGTAACAGAAAGAGATGCAGACAAGCAGAATTTGAGCATGTTGCCAGCATCGGACTTTAAAGAAGAAAGTTAACTACCCTAGACAAAAATTTTCAGTCTCTCGCCAGTCTCTCAGAGTCTTTCAGCGTCTCTGAGAGCGTCTCTCACAGTCTTTCACAGTCTCTCAGTTATTGCCTAGGTATGTTTTTATGGATCTCTCACAGTCTCTGTATGAGAGACTCGAATGATAAAATTGTTAATTCAGGGATTCAAGTCTCTCGTTCAGAGACTGGATACGAAATGAGGATCGCTCTATGAGCGACTCGAGTCTCTCGTTCAGAGACGCTAAACAGTTTTTTTGACAGTCTCTCTCAGCGACACAAGAGAGACTCGATGAGAGACGGAGACTGAACATTTTTATCTCGGATACTCTGAAGAATTTATGTAAGCAAAGCTGCTTGCTTAAAGATACAATTCAACCAGGTAGTCAAAAAGTCGACCCTGATCTTTTGAGTACCTCTAACCGTTGCGCCACTAACTATTATTTGGTTATCTCTTTTCACATTGTCCTTACTACTCATGAAGCATTTTCTAACTTAGCAAGAGCGTGTTCAAAACGCAGCAAATGACTACAATCCCAAGAGGAAACAAGAAAAAAGATACGTCCATGATTTAAATTGCAATCAGTTTGATTGAGAACGATTTATCATATAATCGATCTTAATCAGTTTTTCTACCTTTGTTTTTATTTAAACCCAGATAAAAACGGAAATAGTTTTGTCCAACTTCTCTAATGGTGAATAAAATTGTAATTGTCCTGTAAACTTTCTTTTCGACCTTTCGAATTCGGCAAGTTATTGGCAATTCTACAACACGATTCGAAATTAATGAAAGATGGATAAATGTGGATTGATATGATCCCCCAATTAGGCTACCAGCGACTGACGCTAATCACGAAGGGACGAAAGGGCATACGACGGGATGAGTACATTAGTTAGATCCCTTAGGGCTTTCACCTGAATACATATACGCATACATACGTATTGCCATCTATTGCCGTGAAATTATTGATGGAGTCGACCTCTCAACGTGAAGTTATGTTTAATGTAAACAGACACCGGGAGCAAATTGTAATTAGAACGAGAAGTGGCTTGGAGTCACGTAGTGCATGAATTAACTTTTTAATGGAAAAACAACGCAAGTGACTCTAATTATTACGAAAGTGAAATGGCAAAATAAAAATAGCACAAGCCTACTCAGATGTACAAAGGAGGCGTTGTCCCCAAGTACTCTAAAGCAGAAAAAAGCAATGTTATTATAATTTAAAGTAAATAGAACAAATATTGACGTGACAACGTATTATAATTCGATGGAGCCGGCTGCACGCACGCAAAAACATGACTCATGCGACGTTACCTCGCTCTAAGGCGTTCCATTTAAGGCTTGAAGTGCAAGCGAGAGCGCGGAACGAGCGACAAAGAGGCACAATCGGCCTCCGCGTTCGGCAGCGTTCGACATCTGTCTCTCTCCTACTTGAGTGAGCGATGCGTCCGCGTGTACAGCTGCTATACAATAATACATTTCCATTTACCTCCTTCTCTATATCCATACAAAATATCTATCAAACAAATAAAATTAAAATTTTCTTTTGAAAAATGAAACCATTCCATCAGTATTTTCTTGATGACGTTGTCACGTTCAACTATCGTCAGTAAACCGACTTTACAGACAACCGATTTTTTAAATACATAATTAGATAAATTGCATGATTTTTGACGATACATACGATATAAAATTATTCTCCCGTTGTTACGTTACAATGAATATTCATTGATTCATTCGAATTTATGAATGTTAAACTGGCAAAAAAATTAAATGTATCTTGCTCGCTGTTGGCTTGCCAGAAACGTGTTCCAATACGCAAATGTGTGAACTACATGGAACTGCAATCTTTGAACTGAATAGCGAGTGAGCGGGTCAGTTGATCAGTTTATTTCAACTATAAAATTATTGAGAGAATGCATCTACCTCATCTACATAGTCTCTGTACGAATCAATCCTCAAAATAGACTAAAGAACAATTTAATTTCATTTTTAATGAGACTAAAAACAGTACAATAAGCGTTTTCTCTTTGTGGTTGAAAATAGACATGGGCCGAGGACTCGGTTTGGATCCAATACTCGGCGGTCCGGCTTGGTACTAGTTAATGACGCCGCGTACGTAGTTTGTCAGGAAATTTTACTTGAGAATAAATAAAAACAATAAAAAAAAGAAAATAACAACAATAAAATTTAATAAGTATAACAAAAACCTTACTTAATAAAAATTGGTAATTAAGATTGTATTGGGATAGGTCACAGAATCATTAGGGCATTAGTGCGTAGTCAAGTTTCCAGGGTTCGATTCTCGGCGAGGGCGTAATAGCAGTAACAATTATTCCTCATTAACTTGAGGTAATTTATCATCAACATAATGTCGTCAGTCTTGAGACTGGATGGACACAGCACCTTCACTCCTTTCTATCCTGAGCTAATCTTCGCATTTCCTTAAAACTATTAGAAGATTCCACATCCTTAATTATTTCCGAAGGGAATCTAATCTAAGTCTACCTCTACTCCTCCTAACTCCCTTTTCTGCCTCTAATATATCTCTGACTAGTCCTTTATGCCTGAGAAGGTGTCCTACCAACCTATGTCGACTATTTCTTATTGACTCTCTGTTCTCCTATTCTTTCCAGTTCCTCTTCATTTCTAACCTTCCCTATCCACGGTATCCTCATCATTCGCCTGTAACACTAAATTTCGAACGTTTCTAACCTTTTCTTTTCCGCCTCGACCACCGTCCATGTTTCGCATCCGTACATCCCCGCGCTCCAAACATACACCTTTAACAATCATTTTTGAATTTCTAAATTAACCATTCGCGAGCATAGAAGTGAATTTATTGAAGGCGACTTGACCCTACGCTATCTTCTGCTTTACATCCCTACTAACTCCTTCCGTCCAGACTTATCTGACTTCCTAGATACCTAAAACCAGCCACTTCTTCTAATCTATCATCTCCTATCTCTATATTCGTTCTTGCCCTATTTTTTCTTCCCTTGCATACCAGTATTTTTGTTTTACTTTTGTTTATTTTCATAAAATACTGTTTTGTCAGTAGCGCTTCCATTTTATTTAAAGCTATCTCTAACTCCTCCTTGCTAGATGCTAATACTGCTATATCATCAGCAAATCTATGCATACTAATCTTTTACCCCTGTATATCTATCCCTACAGTTCTACTGTCTTTAATGTAGTTAATCGCTTCTTCGATGTATTAATTAAAAGGTAGTGGTGACAATGTGCATCCCTGTCTGCCTCCCTTCCTAATATTTACTTCTCTACGTTGCTGCTCCAGCTCTGTAACTGCTTGTTGCTAAGTATCACTCTTCTATCTTTGTAATTCATCCCTACCTTTTTAAGTATATATAACGTCTTGTCCCATTTAACATTGTCAAAAGCTTTTTCTAAAAGCGTTCCTCTATTTCTTCTAAACCCAAATTTATCTTCCACTAATAGTTCTTCCGCCCTTTTTTCCATCTTTCTCTGTACAATCCTAGTTAAGATTTTCGACGCATGGGAAGTTAAGCTAATTGCTCTAGGTAATTTATAGTGATTAAAAATTAAATGTATTTCCACATTAATATTTAATAATTAAATATTAACCACCATTGGGTTTCTTAAAATTGTTTCATATAGTATTCATTGTTTTGGTCGTTTAGTGTTTGACAACTAGGGACATAGGTAAGGGTGGTATTTAATGGAAACCCATCAGCTACAACGAAGACATGAACCATTAATCGTAGTGATTTTGCCGGGTGAATCTTCAATTACAACATAAGTCGAAAGAAATATAAGTCGAAATTCCGTGCTGCAAGTGGCAATTTCGAATAATTGTAAGTCGACATTTCGAGTTGAGTTATAAGTCGAAAAATTATGTTTGGTCCCTGTACGTCTTCGTAGCTTGCTTTAATACGACAGGTAAAGTGTTGTGATGCATTTGTTTTGACCTTTTTATTAAATTTAGCGTTGATGCCGTGGAGATAGTCAACTGGTATTAGAATAAATAGACCGAAACAGGTTAAGGGCACCAAGCGATTCTAGAGCAAATGCATCCGCGATATTTACGAAGTTGGATGATTTCACACGAATACGCGTCTGATACATGTCAGAACTGGAAGACGTATTGTAGCATATAATTTATTCATTTAAAAACTATTTTTTGAGTAAATAGTATATAGAAATGTCAAGAATGTCATGTAGCTTGATCCGTGACAATGTTTTACACCTGAACTATCAATTTTATCTACCTAATCTAACGTAAGGGGCTACTACATTGAGTTACATTGGCTGCTGTCAAAGACTAACTTTGAAAACTTGGTTTCAATGTCAAATTAAGTACAAGGTGCCAATAAATCTGTCAGGAAAGGCCTGACAACAACAAAAACAAATACCTAATTCTATTGAGCATCATTATTTATTGAAGCACGCACCTGTCATACCTAATAATACTATTTAATTTATAATAACTTGATAAATCATACAATATAACAATATTAATTAAGAATTTTTTCTATTGATAGGACAAATATTTGAGATATCAATTAGCTAATGGAACAATTCTCTTTCTAGAGGTACTATCCTAGAGTTTAAAATAAATAATTAACTAAAAAAAAGTTACAGTTGCAAATATTATTCACTAATGAGCAAAGAAGTTAATCGAAATCGACTATTATCTCTATAGCATATACTTACATTATTATTTATCCAAGTATGAACCAATATCTCTCACAATTATCTCAATGGCGAAACACTCACAAAAATCACCTAATTAATTAGTAAAATCACATCAAATTTAGATCGACACTCAGCCCTTCACGAGCTTCAGATACCGGAAACAAGACTACGTTCGAAATGTTCATAGGGACGGTAGCGCACAGTAATACGCTAATTTTTTGAGAGTAAGACAATGAAATAAAATTTGGACGATGTTTTGGACCAGTTGGATCCAGTCCAGGCCCAGAGTCTTCTTGACGCCGAAATATCACAATGAGTAAACTAAAAATAAACATTACAAAGGACGTTATTGCTCATTTGGAAGCGGGGGACCGCAGCAATTTTTGAAAATACAAATTTCACCGCGTGAGTCTACCTCACGAAAAAAACAATTATAAACGCGTTCACACACTATGCATAATGGACTAAATAGTATATTTTTACTCGTTAGACAGTAACTGTGCTTGTTCATATTGGCGTAACAAAGGAGGGAGGCCCAGGTGGGCCTAGCTCACCCTAGCATCGTCCTGGGCCACCATAGAATCCGCCTGGCTCACCCTAGAATGTGAATTATCCCACAATAAGATAACTTCAAATTAATGAGGAAAGTAGTGGGTAAAATTAACTCACTAATACATTGAATTAACCCCAGAAAAAATCAAAGGGTCTCACAATTGAGGTAATTAAAGGCGCTCTAAATTGACATAGTCCGTAAAAAATTTACTTTCTTCTTTCAACTTACTAACTAGACTAGAGCGATTGCTGACAGAACGCCTACTTTTACTCACAACAGACGTTATAAAGAATATCGTAAACATAGAAAAGAGATGTCAGGTAGGAATTGCAGCGGTCACTAATAGAGAAAAAGGGATAACATTACACCAAATAATGTGTAACAGAAAGAGATGCAGACAAGCAGAATTTGAGCATGTTGCCAGTATCGGACTTTAAAGAAGAAAGTTAACTACCCTAGACAAAAATTTTCAGTCTCTCGCCAGTCTCTCAGAGTCTTTCAGCGTCTCTGAGAGCGTCTCTCACAGTCTTTCACAGTCTCTCAGTTAGTGCCTAAGCGTTTTTATGGATCTCTCACAGTCTCTGTATGAGAGACTCGTACGATAAAATTGTTAATTCAGAGATTCGAGTCTCTCACAGAGACTAAATGAATAAAACTGAAAAATTGAGAGACTCGAGTCTCTCGTAGAAAGACTGGGATCTCTGAAATATGTTGAACTTAGACAATTTTAACCATGTCTATCGAGACACCACTTATTGAGAGATTTGTGTCTCTCGTTCAGAGACGCTAAACAATTTTTTTAACAGTCTCTCTCAGCGACACCAGACAGACGGAGACACGAGTCTCGCTTTCAGATAATCTGAGAGACTGAACACTTTTATCTCGGCTATTCTGAGGAAGTTATGTAAGCAAAGGTGCTTGCTTAAAGATATAATTCCAACCAGGTCCAACCCTGATCTTTAGAGTACCTCTAACCGTTGCGCCACTAACTGTTATTCGGTTATCTCTTTTCACATTGTCTGTACTACTCATGCAGCATTTTATACAAATTTTTTTATAAAATACAAATTTCACCGCGTGAGTCTACCTCACGAAAAAAACAATTATAAACGCGTTCACACACTATGCACAATGGACTAAATAGTATATCTTTACTCGTTAGACAGTAACTGTGCTTGTTCATATTGGCGTAACAAAGGAGGGAGGCCCAGGTGGGCCGAGCTCACCCTAGAATCGTCCTGGCCCACCATAGAATCCTCCTGGCTCACCCTAGAATGTGAATTATCCCACAATAATTTACATGTATTATTTTTTGTGAAATTTCTCCAGAAAATCGAATCAATCCTTTACACTAGTTAGATAGAGTTGAAAAATTGCACCCCAATTGCTTGTTGATTAATTAAAAACATAAATTACCTGCTAAGTTTTATTATAAAAGTTATTCCTTATTCCATGCTAACTACTTTACAATATTTAGTTCCTATTGACTTCTTCGAATTTGTACACAGGAAATGATTTCAGCGTTCTAATATTGCTTTTGTAATTCAATACGCTCGCATGCGGGGGTTACAACAGCGTAGATGCGGGTGGGGTTTGTAGCAGCGGTTACTTCCAACCTCATGGGTTCAAGTAAATTCAAGCTCAATAAAATAAATATAACATAAACGTCAATCATCTCTTCTTTAAACAACGAAGGCGTCAACTAACAGCCTCTCCCCATGCAGCGTTTGCCAAAAATAACCCTACTCCTCACCTACAAATTATTTCCATTTCGCTTATACCCTCACCAATGGAAATAGAGAGCTGCTAATTGATATTCGACAAATCTAATGTAGTTATCTTGCATTTGAATTTTGGAAGTGATCTTGGTTTATTTCCTTCTTGAATTTATTAATATCTTCCTTTACGATGCGTCACAACGTTGATGGGATCTACCATGACTGAAGGCAGATTGAACATTTATTACATATTCAGTGTATAGGTATATACACTGTAACAACTTCACATGAATCCTGACGTTGTCTAACCACCTTTCAGTCACTTCTTCAATCCAAGGAAAGGATTCATTGTGTTGCACCATCATCGTGAGTATAGGGACTGTCATGGATCAAAAGAATTCCAGACATCAGCGTGTTCCTTTTTTTTGTTTTAGGTGATTCTCCGACCTAGCGGCGAGTAACTTCCATCATTTTCCTGCTCCCAAACAAACAAGGATCTTCAAAACAACGTTAAGATTCATTGGCGACGTCATATTATGAGGAGGGTATAGGGAAGCTTGTTCACAAATACGACAAAAATCTCAATCGTCAAGGTGATTGCGTCAAAAAGTAACGATAAGTAACTTTTAAATAGGTAATATTCATCTGGCCCTTATTTACTATTGGAGGTCGAAAGAAATGACTCTCGTAGAATATAGAAAACGAAGTTTTCGAAAATAAACATTTTGGTAGATACTCCCGATTTGATCAGATTTGATGAACTCAAAACACTTACTATTCTACCGTAAGTCTAACTGAGAATGATACACAATTCCACTTGACATTCTTATCCTTTTTGTCATTATCAATTAACAATTAAAAATGTCATTGTAATAAGGAAAAAAAATAACAAATATAACAAAAATAGCCAGTCCAAACCAGATGGTATAGTTGTTGATGGTGCATGGTACTTATGTTTTATCAATGACCCTATGACCGATTATTATTAATATTTAAACACATTCAACACGTCAAAAGATTGGGGCCTTTTAATTAAAAGTTTCGTCAGTCGTAAGTCTGGTTGACCGCTCACTATCACTTCTTCCTATCCTCAGCTAATCTTCGCATATCCCTAAAACTAGAACCGTAACTATTTGCGAAAAGTAATCTAATATAGGTCTACCTCTATTTCTCTCAGTTCCTGTTTCTGCCTCTTATATGTCTCTGACCAGACTTTCATGCCTGAGAAGATGTCTTACCAACCTATCGCGCCTATTCCTTATTGACTTCCATAGAGTCCTCCGTTCGCCTATTCTTTCTAATACCTCTTTTCTAACCTCTATCCACGGTATCTTCATAATTAGCAGGTAACACCACATTTGGAACGCTTCTAACCATTTCTTTTCCACCGCGCCCACTGTCCGTGTTTCGCATCCATACAGCGTCGCGCTTCAATATATATATATAATATAACAATATTTCTCTAATTTCTAAATTAATCCTTCGCGAGCATAGAAGTGACTTCTTGTTATTGAAGGCGACTCGACGCTGCGCTATCCTCTGCTTTATAATCCTACTACTCCTTTCGTCCTGACTTATCTGACTTCCTGGATACCTAAAATCAGCCACTTCTTATAATCTTTCGTCTCCTCTCTATATTCACTCTTTCTCTACTTTTTCTTCCCTTGCATACCAGTATTTTTGTTTTATTTATAATTATTTTCATGCAACACTACTTTGTCAATACCGCTTCCATTTTATTTAAAACTATCTCTAACTCCCCATTTCGATTAAACTACAAATAATTTGAACACTTTGCCATCCTCGAATTAGACGTTTTAATAGTCAACTGGTTCCAGAAAATACTATCTAGAACCATATAGATATTGTTAATATTTTAAATACCCGTATATGACATATATGGTATCCTGTTTTCGGTAATAATTCCCAGATTATGACACTCTAATGTGTTCTGCTATTACTGTGATTGATGTCATTCGTACGCGTTAACAGGCGATCATCTACTTTCGAGATAAATGTCATGAGAATAACGGCATGTCGTAGATATCACGTTAACTGAGCGTTAACAAACTTATCCCACAAACATCCGGCTCGCCGCAAAACACTAGTTTAGCCCACTTGATTTATTACAAAAAAAAAACAATTTTTCCTTAAAACATTCGGCGTATTCACAACAACTAGTGTAGCCAATATTATGTGTAATAAACTATTTTATGACAATTACAAATAAAAGAAGCACTCTCTTTAATCGCGTTACATTATCCAGTAATTGTCGGAGGCGTTTTGATTGTATTACACGGAGAAAATGAAAAACGAAAATTTACCTAAATATTAAAGCGATATTTACAATTTATCCCACCAGCCCGTTGCTTCGGAAGCGAAAATAATAAAAATTACAACTTGGACCCAAATTTGTAAAAATAAAATCCCAGCTGAAATAAATTTACTAGGTATTTTAGTTGATATTATAAAAGATGGGTGTCAATAACCTAAGTAATTTCCCCTGTAATTCACGAAACATTCAATAATAGCATAGAACCTAAGTAATATAGTTTTTCAATACTAGATTATATACTCCGTGCGTTTTGGGTAATATTTCTTACCTTTCGTAATTATCTTCGCTTTTATTTATAGTTTAAAATTGAGTATTTTAGGGAATCTTTTCAAGTAGTTTTTACATTTTTTTTATACATCA